CGCTCGCCGCGTGGAGACCGCGGGCTTCGTCGCTAGCAGTCCGCTATCCAACGGCCCCGTAAGATGACGTGAGGTGCAAGTGATTCGCGAAGTTCTTCGGAGACGGGAGGCTTCGGCTCCGTGGTTTGGTGGGTCGTCGACTCGAATAAAGTGAGACAGGTCAATCGAAGCGGCGGCCCTGCGGTGATGCACCGCTTCCCAGCGCCTCCGCGCTAGGAAAAGTTCCCCTTGTCGGAGGAGTAACGAGAATCGTAACGTTACGCGGGCGACGTAGACTTAGGCGCGAGGGTAACTCGCGCGTGTAGTCGCGTATGCGGCGAGTATGGCTTCAGTAGCGGTGAAGAAGCGAACGGGGTTCGTTTGTATATGCTGCGTCTCTGGCAGCGGCTAAGTCCGAAGTAGACGTAAAGGCGTGCGTGTATATGCTGCGTCCCTGGCAGTGGCTAAGTCCTACGCGGACGGAGAGGCGAGCGTTGCTCGCGTGTATATGCTGCGTCCCTGGCAGCAGAGTCCTAAGCGGACATAAAGGCAAGCGTTGCTCGCGTGTATATGCTGCGTCTCTGGCAGCGGCTAAGTCCTAAGCGGACGGAGAGGCGAGCGTTGCTTGCGTGTATATGCTGCGTCCCTGGCAGCGGCTAAGTCCTAAGCGGACGTAGAACGACGACTTGCGCGGAGTCGGGAGCTCGACCGCAATAAGCTCTGGCGGCATTAATACCCGGTATATGCAATACGGGAAAAGTCGCGAAGAGAGACGTCCACCGCGGTGGAAGTATCAAGGCAATCTGGAATGATCGCACGAAGCCTTCTCTCAATCCTCGATCGTATTGAGAAGGTGGAGATCCATGGAGTTACCATACACTTCGTAACCCAAACATGTCCTCAGACACTCTAAAGGGCTGCGAAATCTAAACCCGAATGCCAGCGTGTCTGTGACACTCTGAAGGCAGCGATATTCAGTGCAGATATGCACACGTATACCTCGAGCGAGGCAAGAGCCCAACG